GTCACTTCCAATTTTCCAAACTAGTAATTGATAATAGGTTTTGTAAGGATAAAAATATATATGTTGACTAAGTAATTATTCTGTTGGAGAACTTATTTGATAATAACCATGGCTCCTTCATATAAAAGTATGTTTTACAAAAATCCTCAACAAAATATTAGCGAATCAAATACAACAATGTATAAAAGAATTAAACACCAGAACCTAATGGAATTAATTCCAGGTATGCAAGGCTGGTTCAACATTTGAAAATTAAAGTAATTCATCATATCCACAGGTTTAAAAGACAAGTCACATAATGATATCAATAGAAGCAAAAATGTATTTGACAAAATGCAAAATTCATGAAAAATATGATAAAATTCATGACAAAAACACCCAGTAAACTAGAAATAGAGGGTAACTTCCTCAACTTGATACAGAATATTTATAAGAAACCTACAGCTAACATTATATTTCATGGTGAGAGACAAAGAGCTTTCCTACTAAGACCAAGACTAAGGCAAAGATATCCCTCTTTCATCAATCCTTTTTAACATCATGCTGGAAGTCCAAGCTAATGCAGTAAGACAAGAAAACTAAATAAAAAGTATACAGAATGTGAAAGAAGAGAAAAACTGTCCTCATTCACAGATAACATGATAGTCTATGTAGAAATCCAAAAGAATAATTTTAAAAAATAACTCCTAAAACTAATAATTAATTTTAGCAAGATTGCACATGAGGTTAACAAATAAATGTCAATTACTTTCTTATATACTAGCAATGAGCAAGAGTAATTTGAAATTAAAAACACAATTCCTTTTACATTAGCACCATAAAGATAAAATTCTTGGGTATAAATTTAACAGTATATAAGATCTGTACAAGTTTTGGTTAATAAAATCAACTAAATTAATATAGAGATACTACTGGCCTGGTGCATGGATTCATGCACATTGAAAGGAAATTAATTAGAAGGTGGTCTGTAGGGCGGAATTGGGAGAGATGGGCTGGACATGCCCTGGAGCCAACCTCCCTAGTCCCTCCCTGGCTGGCTGTACCTGGGGCAGCGCCACAGCAAGAAGGGTATCTGTGGAGTGAGTGGGATCCCTCCAGCAGGTGGGGGTCCCTCGGCCAGGCCTGCAGGGATCGTGCCGAAACCAGCTCTCTGACATCCCCTGAGGGATCTGGAGTGCAAGAGGGCACTCTGCAAAGTTGCTGTTGCTCAGCAGCTCCTGCGTTGAGAGTCTGCCCCCGGTGGTCAGTGCACATCATACCTACCAGCCGGTTGGATGGTTGGTTGGTCGCTTAGCATTTTATATATATATATACAGATTCTTTGGTCATTAATAGGAAGATTCAATATTGTCAATATGTTAAATGTTCCTGACTTGATCTATAGTTCAGTTCAGTCTCAATCAAAATCCCAAGAAGTTATTATGTGGATGTTGACAAAAAGATTCTAGTTTATGTGGGGAGACAAAAGGTCCAGAACAGCCAATACAATATTGAAGGAGAATAACGAAGTTAGAGGACTGACACTATCTGACTTTAAGACTTACTATAATGCTAGGGAGTGGAATTGGCAAAAGAATAGACAGATCAATGAAACAGCCCCAAAATAGAACTGCATAAATATAGTTAACTGATTTTTGACAAAAGCATGAAGGCAATACAATGAGCACAAATAATCCTTTCAACAAATGATCCTGGAACAACTGGAAATCTACATGTAAAAACAAAAACAAAAAGGAATCTAGACAGAGACTTTATACCTTTCACAAAACAACAATAATAAAAACCCTCAAAAGGTATTACAGCTCTAAATGTAAGATGCAAAACTATAAAACTCCAAGAATGTAGCATAGGAGAAAACCTCCATGACCTTGAGTATGGCAATGACTTTTTAAATACAACACTGAAGAGGCAATCCATGAAAGAATCAATTAAGTAGGCTTCATTAAAATTTCTGCCCTGGGATAAATAGAGCACAGAAGATTTGTAGGGCATTGAACTACTCTGTATAATACTATAATGATAGATACATGTCAATATACGTTTGCCCAAACCTACATAATGTACAACACCAAGAATGAACTGAAAGGTAGACTATGGACTCTGGGTTATAATGCTCTGTCAATTAATTCATTAATTGTAACAAATGTACCACTTTGGTGAGGGATGTTGATAATATGGGAAGCTATGTATGGGTAGGGTTAGGGGGTACATAGGAAACCTTTGTACCTTTTTCTCAATTTTTCTATGAACCTATAACTGCTCTAAATAATAAAGTGTTTAAATTTTTTAAAGTATGCTTTGTTACTCATATGTTTTGTTTTATCATGACATTCTCACAAAAACTCTGCAAGGTAGGTGCATTTGTCTAAATTGTATTTTTACAAGTGAGAGAAGTGGTACTGAGAAATGTAAATAACTTCCCTAGTACCCTAGAGGTAATAAGTGGTGTAGTCTGGACTAGAATTTACTTTTGTCTAATATAAAGTTTATGTTCTACTTTACCAGGAGTCAGAAAACTATAGCCTATGAGGTATATTAACTCACCACCAGTTTTGATAATAATAAAGTTTTATTGGAACACAGTCACACTAAGTATTGTCTACGGCTACATTCACATGACAACAGCAGAGCTGAGCAGTTGAGACAGAGATATTATGGCCTACAAACGTATTATTTAAACCTTTACATAAAAAGTTTACCAACAGTTGTACAATACCATTATGTCTTCTCATAGTCATTTCTCATCCTAAGTTCTGTGTTTGAGTTCAACTTTTAATTAGATGACAACTAATAAATAATTTATAGAACATATTCTATTTTAAATACCATAATAGGCATTGAAGATGACTTTTTAAAAAATATGACATGTAAAAAAATTACTATTTTATATAATAATCTTAGAATGAGTAACAGAATCTCTGAAAATAAAATTTTATTTATCCAAACTCATAAATAACAATGAAAATAAATAAAAAGTTTTCCAGATAAGAAAAACCTGTTCATTACCTAGAAAAGAGCAAATGTATTAATTTAATATTCAATAGTTTCTGGATTCACTAAAAACTTGTGGCGGGCTGGCACGGCCATGGCATACTCAGCCCCACATTGGGCGCCTTATGTGCCACGCCAGCTCAGCCAGGTTCGGTGAGCCTGAGTGGGGGCGGTGAAAGATGGAGAAAAGACAGACAAGAGAATGAAAGCTGGGTCTGGGTGGGACGCCGTCCTCTCTGATGGAGAGCCAGCGACAGCGCCACGGACCATAAGCTGTGCCTTTATTTTATAGCCAGAGTCCACTAGGCAAAGTAAGGGCGTGGTCAAGATGTTTACAACATTCTCATGGGTTTCGATCCTACTCAATTACATGCACCTGAACTCTATCAAGCCCACATCACTCAGACACGTGGGGCCACGTGTTCGGATCATAGGTTCAAGCTTACAACTACTATAGCTGTTGGCTATAATTGTGCTGGGAGGGCTCTGCGACTTGCATGTGGCAATGAGAGGACTGTGCCCTCTCATTAGTTTGAGGCTTGAACCTGTCTAAACACTGTAGCCGCTCTCCACAAAAACTAATCAAGTGAATGTTATTATTATAAAGAAACTTTAAAGTTACTAAGTTATAAAGTAACTGAAATCAAAGACTATTTGTAAGCATGCAGTTGCACGATTTGGAAAACTGAGGACAACTATAAAGATATTGATTACCTGCATGTCACTATTCAGTATTACAAATTCCATCTAAAAAGACATAATTTACACTTCACAAGAAAAAACTTGAAGTTAACTTATCAATGTTGTTCTCTTGTAACACCTTAATTCAATGAGTTCCTGAAAATGTTCTAAGATCATGTAAGTAATTAAACTGAAGATTTGTGTAAAGATCAACCAATATAAAGAGTCTATAAACCATGAGAAAAAAATAATATGAGAAACATCCATAAAAATCATTCTAAGAATAACTTTTCTTCAGCCCATCCATATTGGAGACAGTGTAGCATTCTTTCACCCCACAGATATGGGCATAGAACCCTACACCACTCACTAGGCTCATCCCCCACCTTCCTGCTCATCCTGTGGCTACTGCTGCTACAGGGCCCAACAGAGACTGTGGAAGAACTCAGAGGAGAAAGAGGAGAGGTGAAATGGGCAGTGTGTGCATGTGTGCATTTATGTGCATGTATGCATTTATGTCCCTGTGGATAAGTGTTTATATATGTGTGTCTGTTTCTTTCCCAAAGAATCTGAAGTTTGTAAAATAATATTCAGTCTAACATAGTTTAAGATAAGAAAAAGGGAGTCAAGGTCTTCATGAATGCTCCAAGGTGGGGATTTAGGGAAAGGTACAGATGATAAGCATCAATCTCATTGCTTATTTTGTGTATCATTTGAGAAATGAACTATATAAATGTCGCTGAGATGTTACTAGCATTCCTCAAGTACTTTCTTGAGTTCTTGGTCTCCAGCTTGTCAAGTGATCTCGGGGAATCACTCCACCTAAGACATTTCTGTCCTTTCCTTTTCAGGTCTCTTGGCAGGTACCCCGGGACCATATCAAAGTCTTTAAAAAAAAAAAAGAATGCTCTAAAATTAGCAAATATTCTTCATAATGACAAAGAAACCAAAAACCCCGGAATGATTTAGATTCTTAAAAATATTGTTGATTATATATTGAAATACTGATTTTAAAAAAAAACCCTCCAAAACAGTCATTTATGCACATAAACATTTTTTTTAAAAAAGAAACAAAAAAAGTCCTTGGCATTATTGCAAAATTCAGTAATCTAGGGGGGGGAGGGGGACACACAAAAGATTACACTCACTTTTTACTATTAGCTCAAATATACACATTTATCTACCCACACATAACTGACTCCATCCATCCTTTTGACAAGTGATGACGTAAAAATGAATCAAGGGAGAAATATCAGCATTTAGAGCATCAATCATCCTAACTCATCAGTCATAAATAAATATAAAAATGACACTCGGGGCTCACCTACCTACATAGAGAACACCGTCTCTTGTCTTTCCTGCTGCTTCTGCCACACCCTGTTTGGTTTTCTCAGCAGCAGCCACGACTCCCTCCTTGGCCTTTGACAGTCCTTTCATGAATGCATCCATGGCTAATGAATTCCTTTACACCACTCTGCATAACACAAAATACATTTTGAAGAGAACTTTGGGGTAAAACAAAACTAGAAACACCCTGAAAGATCAGTAGAACTCCCAAAAGTGTGAGGCTCTTTGAAGTGCACCCTTATTTCCACCATTGGACAAAGCCTTTTTTTAGCTTTTGCATTAAAAATTGAGCATACCCCATCCATCTTGGCTAGTCCAAGTCTAGCTGCCTAGACATGGATTGGGATGAATCATCTCAGCTGTTCTCACTGCATTTCCCAAGTGGAGTTGCAGGAAAAGATGGACCCCTCTCTCAACTTCCCAGGGTCCAAAAGCTGACAGTGTGAGTTAGAAGTACGTTCAGAAGACAGATCACAGGGAAAGAAAGGGAGCTGGAGGCGTGGGGTCAGGGACTCTCTGAAAATGAACCCCAGAAGAGATCTAATTGGCAGTCCGGGAACGGGGAGGGAAGAGACCTGCGCACCCTGGGTGTGGCTGAACCTCAGGCCAACGGGGAGCCCACCCGCACTGGCTCTAATCCACCCCACCAGCCACCCCAGCCCCAGCTATCTACCCAGAACAGGCGCCGGGCCCTGCCCGCCCGCCCGCAGCCAAGAGACGCGCTCCCGCCACCGCAGGGGGCGTTCTCCGAGCTCGCGTCCAACCGCTCCCGCACCTGTTAACCCCTTAACCTGTTGACTTACCCTGCTTGCACTTCCATTTAACTAGTTGCCCAACACAGCTCGTTTTCGGAGAGAACCGAGAGGGACGAGCGGGGGGTTAAGGCGAGAGAGAAAGTTGGATGCTCTCGCTCCCTCCAGCACCCTCGCTTTTCCCGAAGGAAAAGCTGCTCTAGGAGAAGCCTGACCTCTCAGCCTGGGAGAGGAAGGCAATGTCGGTAGCGGGAGGAAAGCCTGGTCAACTTACTTTCCGCAGGCTCAGCGCAGGGAAAAGGACCCCGGGGGTCCTCCGGCCGCGCAGCCCCCGCCAGGTGTCGCGGAGACGCCCCTCCGCGCGGGCAGGGTGCGCCAGGACGCACCAAGCTGCCCCTTCGGAAGCACAGGCGCTTACCTCGGTCCCTCTGCTGCCCAGGCGTCCGACTCCCCCTTCCCTCTTCAGAACATTAAACAATCCCCAAATAGGATTTCCACGGGAAGAGGGGGGACTCGGAGCGCATCAGGAGGGCAGAGGCGGCACCCGGAGGGGGTGGTCCCCAGAGCGTGCTGCAGGCGGCACAGCCCAGCGTGGAGAGGCTGGGGTCGCGGAGGGCGAGCCCACGAACCGGTCGTCGAATTGCCACTCCCTGTCCCCAGCACGAGAGGGTCCCGGAGAAACAGACGGGGGTCGGGAGGGAAGGCGGGAGAGAGCGAAGGATGCTAAAGGCCAGGCTCGGTCCCGGGTCTGCTCTAAAGCCAGCACCCACCTCACCCCGCGTCGCCGCTCGCGGTCGCTCGCTCCCTTTCTTGGGTCCCCTTCTCTCGTCGGGATCTTCCTCCTCCTCCTCCTCCTGCTCCTCGTTTCCCTCCTCCCTCCCCTCCACTCGCCACCCCCGCGGCTGATTTGTCAGCGCCTCTCCCCGCCCCTCGCCCCGCGCCAGCTGCGCTTCACTCCGCTCCTCGGATGGGGGTGGGGGTGTGGCTGGGGGGCAGGCTGTACCTCAGCTCCAGGCAGGAAGGTGGGGGTGTTCTGCGCTTCGCCTCAAGTTCAGGGTCACGGGGACTCTCGTGGCGATCCAAGCGGTTAGGATTGGGCTGACATCTCCCACCTCCTCCTCCCCTCTCCGCCTCTCCTTCTGGCTCCTCACGGGGACCCCTACGTCAGAGCCAACCTGGGGGCGCGGGGTCTGGGGATCCACCACCAAAGGTAGAGCCGATCTCTGGGGAGCTGCTGAGGAGGCGGGAGGCTCCGAAAGGCGCTCCCAGCCGCACCACCTGGAGCACGCTTCCCTCCGGTGGCTCAGATCTGATGGATGGTCATAGGACACAAGGTTAAGGCTGCTTTTGCTTAAATATATTCCAGATTTCCGTTTGCTCTTCACCTGGCCTGAGCCTGAAAGGGTCCCGCGGGTGGATGAGTTACAGGTGGAGGAGGCAGGAGGAGGCTGGTCAAATCCTCTTTCCACCCCACTATCACCATTTTCTTTTCCACCAATCAGGGGCTGCCAGGCACAGGTTTTCCCATCAGCTGAACCAGGAATAAATATTCCCCAGCCGTCGAAACCAAGCGGTCGTTAGGGTTTTCGTTCTCGAAATGGGATTTACTACTTTCCACGCTCAAGTGCCTGCGTGGAGGAGACGGATCCAGCGTGGGTGTGTCCTCCTGAACCGCCACAGCCAGTTTACCCTTCGCCCCTTCTGAAACCCAGACGCTGCACACCTTCCTGACTTCGGATCCTCGGAGCTAGCTGACACCCACCCCTTCGCTCACACAGACCCCCACACACACACGCACGCGCAGGTTTCAGGACGATCATTGCATCGCTTAACGCGTTTTCACCCTTTGGGAGCTGGAGGGAACGCAGCTGTTCCCATCACACCAGCACGGAGAACCAAGCTCCTCCCTCTCACCCAATGCCTTTGCTTGCTTTGCCTGGGAGGATGATTTCAGCACCGGAAGAAAGAAAGCCAATCCTCCGCTGTGTTCTTATTTCGTTTTTGTGTTTATTTGGGGGTGGAGGAATGCTTTCTCTGACCCTGGCAGTCACTTGGGTCTGAAATTCGAATCATATGCAATTTAAATCTAAAAAACCTGTTTGAAAGCAACAGGGACAGGAAATAAGTATATGTATGCTTAAACAATGCCTTCTATTATGGACCTGCCCTTTCTAAAACTAGTCTTTCCCAAAAGACTCATGTTTTGTTCCAGTGGGGTCAGAGGAAGAAGGTTAAACTTGCACGTGGCTTTGCTGTCTGGCTTTGAGACCTCGAGCAAGTTCCGTCCTCCTCCTGTTCAGTTTTCTCTTATAATGCAATGAACCCTGATGATGCCTCTCTTTTCAACTTTTTATTATGGAAAATGTTCAAAAATATACAAAAGTGGAGAGAATGGAGACCCCCTGTGTATGTCTCCCAACTTCCAGCATTTTTAAACATATGGCTAGTCATGTTTCATCTTTATAGGCACCCACTCCCCAATTTTTATCACTACCCCCTCTACATTTTTTACTAAATTCCAAGAATTACATCTTTTGCATTTGTATGTATTTCAGCAGGCACCCACAAAATATAAGAATAAAAAATAACCATAATAATTTTAGATGGTCTTTTTAAAAAAGTTAAGTAAATTTTATCAGTTTTCAAAAATACATGCATTAGTGTAATCCACATCATTTTGAAAACATAGGAGATTTTCATCACTGGAGACTGTTCCCTCATGCCCTCCTTAGTTTTATGTATTTTTGACTTTCAAAAATGGAATCATACAGTATGAACTTCTTTTGTATCCGTCGGTGTCTTTCACTCAGCATAATATTTGTGAAGTTCATTCATGTTGCTGCATGTATCAGTAGTTTGTTTCCATTTATTGCTCTTGTTTCTTTTTATTATTGACAATAATAAGTGGTTTCCACTGTAGCCCATCATGACTAGGTACCTTGACAGACTATTAGGACCGGTACACGAAATTCATGCACTGGAGTGGGGTCCCTCAGCCTGACCTGTACCCTCTTGCAGTCCAGGAGCCCTCAGGGGATGTCTGCCTGCCAGCTTAGGGCGGGCCTAAGTAGGCAGTCGGACTTCCCTCTTGCAGTCTGGGACCCCTTGCTCCTAACTGCTTGGCTCCTGCTCCTTAGCGCTGCCATGGATGCAGGAAAGGCTCCTGCCACTGCTGCTGCACTTGCCAGCCGTGAGCCTGGCTTCTGGCTGAGCTGTGCTCCACCTGTGGGAGCGCACTGACAACCAGGGGGCAGCTCCTGCATTGAGCATCTTCCCCCTGGTGGTCAGTGCACATCATAGCAACTGGTCATTCTGGTCACTTAGGCTTTTATTATATAGATCAGGGGTCCTCAAACTACAGCCCGCGGGCCACATGTGGCCCGCCAAAAACATTTATCTGGCCCACCGGGTGTTTTTGCCGCCACTGCCTGTTGCTTAGCAGCCGACTCGTCCTGGCCCGCAGTGCGCAGGTGTGGAATGTGCACTGCACTCTCCCACTCCCCTCCTTCTCTCTGTCTCTCCGCTCCTCCTCTCAGTCTTGGGTGTGACCGGACGAGTCACGAGTTTGCCTGTGCAGAGCATGCTGCTGCCTGAGGACCGAGGTAAGAACAAGTTAGGATTTTTTTTTTTTGAAGTTAGGAGGTCTATTTTTTTATTTTTTTTTATTTTGCAGTTGGTAGGGCCTTTTTTTTGAAGTTAGGAGAGCCTTTTTTTTTTTTTTGAAGTTTTGTTTTTTTACTTCAAAATAAGATATGTGCAGTGTGGAATTTGTTCATAGTTTTTTTTTTAAACTGTAGTCCGGCCCTCCAATTGTCTGAGGGACAGTGAACTGGCCCCCTGTTTAAAAAGTTTGAGGACCCCTGATATAGATTATTTCATATGGCATATTTATAGTATAACAGGGACCTCCTTGAGACCCAGGGCTTTAAAACAAAGATGGGGAATACAATAGATATTTTAGGCCCCACTCACTGAAGACCAATGAAAATATTATTTTGAGCAGTTACTTTTTTTGTTTGTTTTGTTTTTTATTTTCTTTATTGATTAAAGTATTACATATGTGTCCTTATCTCCCCATTGCCTCCCCCCACCCCCCACCCCTCACCCCTGCTCATGCCCTCACCTCCATGGTGTCTGTGTCCATTGGTTACGCTTATATGTATGCACACAAGCCCTTTGGTTGTTCTTTCCCCCTTACCCCCACTCTCCCCTGCCTTACCTCTGAGGTTTGATGGTCTGATCAATGCTTCTTTGACTCTGGATCTGTTTTTCATCAGTTTATGTTGTTCATTATATTCTACAAATGAGTGAGATCATGTGATATTTATCTTTTTCCAACTGACTTATTTCGCTTAGCATAATGCTCTCCATGTCCATCCATGCTGTTGCAAGTGGTAGGAGTTCCTTCCTTTTTATAGCAGTGTAGTATTCCATTGTGTAGATGTACCACAGTTTTTTAATCCACTCATCTGCTGATGGGCACTTTCCAAATCTTAGCTATGGTAAATTGTGCTGCTGTGAATATAGGGGTGAATATATCCTTTCTGATTGGTGTTTCTAGTTTCTTGGGATATATTCCTAGAAGTGGGGTCACTGGGTCAAATGGGAGTTCCATTTTTAGTTTTTTGAGGAAACTCCATACTGTTCTCCACAGTGGCTGCACCAGTCTGCATTCCCACCAGCA